ATATATTTGTGGTATTGAGGATCGAACTCAGCTCATGCTTGCAAGGCAGGTGCTTATGCCACTGAGCTATCTCCCTGGCCCTTTCATGAAATTTTAGTTGTGCTGTGCAGCTACCTCATTGACTTTAAAAATCTTCACCTTGCATGGTCATTTTCACTTGGGGGAAGAACAAGACTTGCAGGCTTCTCGAGCTGGTGAGGAAGGTGGTGCGCACGCACCACACGGTCTTCACAAGCCTACATTTCCAGCGACAGAGCTCCGCATGTTCACTGTATTTTTATCATACCTCATAAATACATCCATGAAAGAGGACTGTTAGAAGTGCTTCAAAAATGGAAGGAAGGATGGCTATGTGTGTGCAAAACAAGGGGGAATATTCTGAGGGAGACTAATGGCGATATACTTTACTATAATTTTTAAAAATTAAACGTTCACTGTATTTTTATCATTCCTTGTTGTCTCAACACCCCGAGGGATTCCTTATTGTGGTAAGAAGTATGAAGACTTACAAGAATTTAGAATACAAAAGTTTTTAAAGGAAGGCAAATTGACCAAGAAATAAATAAATGCAATAAATGTAATATCTCTCTTGCTATAGATTTTTTTTTTCTTTTGAGACAGCGTCTCCCCATGCAGTTCAGACTGGCCTTAGGCTCACTTTGTGGCCAAGGCTGGCCTCAAAGTCTCAGTGAGCCTCCTGCCTCAGCCTCCTGAGTGCTGCAATTACAAATGTGCCCATTGTGCCAGCTTACCTTTTCAATACTACCTATTTAAACATAGTAATACAAACATATTCTTTAGTTTAGGTCTAAACCACAATGTAAAGTTAACTAACAGATACTCACTTTCGAATATACAGTTATTTCTTCAGGGTTTTCAGTAGTCAGACAGAAATATAAGTACATTCTAATAATTTCCATGGTGATGTATGAATAGCTGAAGGTCTTACTGTGTGTGAAAATTGCTTTCCAGTCCCACGCTACACCTGAAATGCAGTGCTGCTTACTCCCAACAACCCCTCTTTGGCCTCTTTCTGGTTTATGGTGGTTCGTATGAATAGGAGAGCTACATACAGGAATAATTACTACAAATTTTTGTCCTACTTCAGAACTGAGAATTACATTTTTTAATTTCCTGAAATAACAATATAATGACACTATCAAAACTGGCATTGCTGCTCTTTGCAAAGACTTTATTTCATCATAAAGCTCAAAAAAGTGTCAGTCATTTGCTGGTCACTTGCTCTGTTGCATTATGTAACTTCCTATTTTTTTTTTTTTCAAAATCTCAGCCGCATGACACACCAGACTGCCTGACCTCCTTATACTATCAGCCTTTGTTCCAGAGCACATTTCCTCTTGAGAGTTTTCTGTAACATCAGCAGGATTACAGGCCATGTTCTGTTGAACAGTGAAATCATCTTAAAACAGTCTTCAGCTGACTATCTTGGAACAAATTTATGTAGTCTAGAAAGTCTCACTTGAAAGAGAACATGTTCCCCCAAACACACACGCCGGTGGCGTGTGCCTCGTCAGTACTCTAGGAATGCACAGATTCTGTTCCTGTACTGAATTTCTGGGTCCTTGACTATTACATGGCTAGGTGTCTATTTCTTTTTTTCTCATAGCTATGCAGAGTTCTATATACCTCCCTTGTCTATGTATCATTTTTTTTCCTACTTGGGAAGATTTCTGTCTTCTGTGAACAGGTTTTTAATGCTTTGTTTCCTATTTAAAAAGAACATGGAAATAAGTCATTGTGTAAAATCTAGGCACTTGTGAAAGGTAAATAATTATTTCTCAGTTCATATGATTTTCTGGGTTCATACTCAGTAGAGAATGTTCCTATGTAAGTTATGATAGTCTCTGTTGTAAAATTGAACATTTTCCCAGTAGTGATGTTGTGTGAGATTAATTTTATGTTTTAATTTATTTTTCTGGTACTAGAGAATGAACTCAGGGCCCTCTACCACTGAGGTATATCCCTAGTCCTTTTAGTTTTTCACTATCTCTTTCTAGAATGTCCTTCAGAATATTTTAGAGTGGTGGTTTGGTGCGTATGAATTTCTTCAGGCATTCTTTGTCATGGGACTATCTTGTTTCTCCATCCACTTGGAAAGATAGTTTCATGAGGGATGTCAGTCTGGGTTGGAGGTTTTCTTTTAGTGCTTGCAATACTTCACTCCAGGCTCTCCCTGACTTGAGGGTTTTTGTTGAGAAGTCTGCTGTGATTTTGAGAGGATTTCCTTTATAAGTGATCTGTTTATTTTCTCTAGTAGCTTTTAATATTCCCTTCCTGTATTGAATTTCTGGAATCTTGACTATTATATACCTAGGTGTCTATTTCTTTTTTTTTTTTAATCATAGCTATATGGAGTTCTATATACCTCCCTTGTCTGTATGTCATTATTTTTCCCTCTTGGGAAGATTTCTGTCTTCTGTGAATAGGTTTTTAATGCTATTTACACTACCTCCTGTTTTTTCATCAACTCCGATCAATCTTACTTCTTTGCACTGTCTAGCAGCTGCAGGATTAATGTCTTGTAGTCCCTTGCTATCTTTAAGAAATCTTTCTTTTCATGATTTCTGGCTGCAATCCTGTCTTCTGTATCTGAGATTCTAAGCTTGCATGGCCTCATTGTGCTGCACGCATTTTCAAGGGAATTTTGAATGTCCTTGATGTCCTTTGATCTGCTTCATTGATTCCATTTCTTTCCTGCGCTGTGCATTAGCAGTGGCCCTCGTGCTCCTCAGCTCTGCTGTTTGTTTTTTATGTGTCTGCTTTAGAGTCACCAAGCACACCTTCCTTTATGTCCAGTATGTATGTGGTTATCTGAGGGATTATTTCTGACTTGACTTTTTCTAGACCCTTATTCATCGCCTTGTTGCTCCTGCTGTTATCACTTCAGTGTGGGTGGGTGGCCTTCAAATTGTCCCACCTAACTTTCCCGGATTTGCCTTTGCTGTACTCAGAGTCTGGAGTGGCAGCTTATTTAAGTGTCATCTCACTTTCTATTTTTTTAGGTTTATTTATTTTCTGGCACTGGGGATTGAACACTAGGCCTTCACACCAATCTATATACATATTCTTTCTAAGTGGGTTTTATTTATTTATTTATTTTTGAAAGAGAAGTATGCCTTATTCCTTGCTTTGCCACTTAGGTAGGCTGAATAGTTTGCTTTTTGGTGATCAGTCAAAAGAGTCCAAATCCTGTATCCTCATGACTCCTCTGACTCTTCCTTAGTTTCCACCTTGGCTGGGGCAGCTGCAGCAGCAGGAACAGCAGTGGTGGCCGTGGCGACAGGGGCAGCAGCCACAAATGCAGATGGATCAGCTAAGAAGGCCTTGACCTTTTCAGATGGATCAGCTAAGAAGGCCTTGACCTTTTCAGCAAGTGGGAAGGTGTAATCAGTCTCCACAGACAAAGCCAGGACCCGCTTGTACCCACTGATGATCCATTGATGATAGAATGGGGCACTAGTTTAATTCCTAGATTGATGCATGTAAATTGCTCAGAGCAAGTAGCT